TAGTTTGCTTGAATCTATTTATAAAAGCTTTATAAATGCCTTGGCTCTCAACCTCACCATCACAACTACAAGCATATTCCAAAAAAATACCACCTAAGTGATCATTTAACCCTGAAATATTCTTTAATTGGTTCTAAAGTGGAAATAGAAACTGACTTTTATAACTTGGCTGCTATGGAGTCCAGTTGCAATGTCATCCAGGCTGTTTATGACTCCTGATTATGGAGCTATGAGCGGGGGGGATTCCTGGAGTGTCATACAGTTTAACAACATCCCTGACAGTGTGAGGAGCTCTGCAGTCTGACCCATCTGTCAGTCACACTCTCACACAGCTACAGCCACTGGCGTCAAGATTTATGTTTGCACTGCTGTTATGGATAATGTTTTATGATCCTGTGGTGCTCTTGCGTTTTGGTAGACTCAGGTTTAAACATGCTAGTATTGACAAACTATCATTCTTCTTAGATAGATGTGGTCACAACTTATTTTCTCCTCAAGTCTTATTCTGGGACCACACAAATGTCTGAAAAGAAATTATTTAGTTTTGTTGTTTCTAGTGTCCATGTATTTATATGAAGTATAATATTTATATATTATATTTATTTATATATTAAAGTTATTAAGTTATTGTCAGCGTTCCCTTGGGGGGTCAGTTAAGTCATACGGTGTGGTGTCACAAAGAAAAAGTACCTACGATAAATATTTACCTCCAAATGATTGTTCCATCTTTCGTGTGTATATAGTATTAACCGTGGCAGGCCTAGAAGTTGCATGCGCCTTTAACTAGATGCAACACAGTTTCTACTTAATATCACTAAATGTCAACAATAAGAATTTTGGCAGACATGATAAAGACAACTGATAACAAGGGCAGAAGTTTAATTCCAAGTTAATGCTGGCAGATAATCCTCAAATAATCAGTGTCTGCTGCAAAGTGCAAAGAGAAACTAATGAACAGGAAGAAAAATGACTGCACATGAATACTGCAAGAGCCACATCAGTCCTACTGCACAGTCAGTACCACAGATGCCTATAGACCAGATTTAAAACGCACATATTGACTTGTGGTCTATAACATGCTGCGTTGGAGCATATAGAGGTCATAAAAGCACATTAAAGTCTTTTAGTGATTTACTTTGTGTGGGATGTCTCTCTAGAGATGTTCAAATTAATGGTGTAATTATACAGTGGTATGGGATGGGAGGCATTATGATTTATGGTCATAGATAGACACGCATATGCCCAATACAGCACACACATACACACACACATACTTACACAGAACAGGGAGAGCGCGTCTTGGGACGAGCTCTGTCTTTGCTCCAAGGACAACTGCCTCTCCACTGTCTCCTCTCCCTTTATCTGCATACATTTTAGCCTGTCCTCTACACAAACTGCTGGCTTTCGGGCAATTTTTCATATAGACAGTTTATTAAAGATGTGCTTTTCCTTTTATTTTAGGGAAACTAATCATTCACCTCATTGCTTTCTAATGTCTAAGGCTGAACGATTGCAAATTGATTTACGTTTGATGTTTTCAAATCAGATCATAGTGCCCATTTTACACATGTCTCAAATATAAACCGCTATACTAATCCATGAGTTCCAATGTATATCAAAACATGTATGTTGGTCTAAACATGCATACAGTAAATACATACATTCCATACATCTGTACTGTACAATACATCACTATACATACATTGTGTGGGCAAGATTTATACATAAAACAGGATTTTTTTGTTGTTGTTTGTCATTCTCATTAGGTTACAATTAATCTAACTGGGGTCTTATCTATGCTTAGAATTATAAAGCATTTTTCACAAAGAGCAAATCGAACACAAACCTTTTTGAGCTTTGTTGTTAAAGAAATAGCTATATCCAACTCCTTTATAAAAAGAAATCAATAAAACAAAAAAAGTCAGAAAGCTGGTTTTTCATCTATTTTTGCCATGTTTTCTGTCCAAACATGAGCAAAGTGTTGCTGTGGTCACTGTAGACATCACGACGCCGCAAACATCACAAGTGCACCATTTCCACTTTGAGCCTGTCTGTCTCCCCTGCACAAAGAGCAGGAGGCCATGTGTCAACTACTACATGTGCCGTAATGGCATGATGAATGCAGTGGAGAGGTGTAGTATTCGTCATGTTGTTAGTGTCTGGGCCCCAGAGGAGGATCTGCAGTCATCACTCACTCTGGAGGTAAAGGTGGAGGAGAGCAGGCCTCACATCCTCTCACATCTCTGCACACTGCGTAAGGGAGGAGCACACTAGACACCAACTCTATGTGGACTCGCTATTTACTGCTATTTTATCATACAGATCCACTGGATAGTTCTCAGCTTTATTCAGATATTAGCTGAGTCACGGATACTAACTCATCAATATCCTGAAAAAGCTAGAAACACAGTCAGTCACTGCAGATGTACATTAAATAGGCCTGTCATGATAAATACCATATCGACTTATCGTTCAATACATGACAGATGGAACAATAGTTTTTTGGGGTCAATATTTATTGTGTGTAATTTATTTTTATTTTTTTTTTGCTATACAATGAGATTTGAACTTTAGAAGGTTGAATGAATAAATATTATGACCCATTACAGATACAATGTAAGTACTAAAGTGTTCATTTTGCTATTTATTTATTTATTGCAACAATTTTGATTTTAAGCAATGATTTTTGCAATGTAGAGTTCAATTTGTTTTTGTGGTTTAAATCTGCTCTTGGGTTATTGTGTCAGTGGCATAAATTACTTTCAATATTATCATTTATCATCTATATCTTCTTCAGCAATATATGTATGTACTTCAAAGAGACCATCTTTATGATCTCAAAGTCTCTGTACATAGTAAACTAAATGAATACATCTGAAAGTGTATAATTTTAAAACTCCAATGAAGAAATGAAATAAAGAGTACACAACATGGTACACGTTGCATCAAAAAGACCATTCATCATAAAACATAGTCTCAGCACAACAGAAGAGAGACAATTTGATTCATTTTTCATTGTCACTACAGTATAGTCTTTGAAATATTGAAAACATACTAGAAATTCATTTTTTGGACAGAAGCAGTATTGTCCAGGCATAGACCTCGTATAAACAATGTTTTATCTTTAAAGCTATGGTGTTAATTCTTGTTATTGCTTCCATATGTGTTTTTTCCTCCCCTCTTCCTCTCCTCTTCCTCTTGTCTTACTCCCCTCTTCCTCTCCTGTTCCTCTCCTCTTATTCCCCATGTCGACTCCTTAACCTCTGTCAAGGATGATAGTGATGGGGCCCACACAGCAAACAGCAAACCTCAGCCTCAGCAAGCTCTCAGATTAAGCTTCTTAATATCCGCAACTGGATTTCTGTGGCTTTCAGATTCCCCCGAGACTTAAGGCTTTGCTGCGCTCTTTTTGGGATTGCTCATAAGCTACTCTTTCCCTCGCTGTCCTTCACTGTGCAATCTGTTTTCCTCCCTACCTGCTTGGCGCTTTCACATGCTAATTTTGTGCTTTATTTGACAGCTCTGCTTTCTCATCCAGCCTCTGAATGTGATCATTGGCAATAATGGCGGAAATATGGTGTTTGCAGAGGGATGCTAGCTCTAAAGTTTGGCTCATGAGAAATGAGAGATGAGAGAGATACAGTGAGGCAGACTGTCATACTGTAGGGAAAGTGCCATCTCAGCTCAAGCTTGCTGCCTTCTGCTGAGCATCTGTGGGCTCCGTGATTGAAGAATGACATTCATTTTCCACACAATAAAACACAATTGCAAAAACATACTTCAGGTTCAGGTTCTCCCCCTGACTACACAAAGTGTTACAGTACATTTAACAGAATCTGTATTTTATGTAATACACTGTGTACAATGAGGTAAAACAGTTTGCATTTAAACCACAAATCAATTTTGTTTTTAAAAGTGCACTATGTAACTATTCTGGCGGGGGGCTCCCCTACCTGGTTGTGCCCATGCTTTCCACAGTATGGCATTAAACTGATCTATTATGCATTTACAAAATTATTATTACACATCTTTACTGCTAAAACATGTATTCTTGCTGTGTATGGGGATCACCTCCACAGATCTGAACAGTAACTCGGTCTGCTTTTGTCATCTACTTTTAATGCCATACTGTAGAACATTCCAGGCAAAGTCAAGTAGGTAGCAGACACTTCCCCCGGAGCCTGAAAAATATAGTGCACCTTTAACACAGTTCCTTGCTATAAAACACTGCAAGATAACAAGGACAAAGGGACATATTCTCTATTGCTACTTGTGCTGTTGACATGATATTGTGTTCATACTGACTACTCTTCTGTTTATTTTCCTCATGCTGCAGTTTTACACATGAGCTGTTGCAAGGAAGCAAGGAATTCCAGGGAAAGTTTATCTCGGCGTGTGCAATCCTCTCAAACAGCATGTCGGATACAGTTTAAGCTCTGCTGCATGTGTCGAGCTTTTAGTCCAATCTGCCTCTGACTCATTCCCTTCATAATTAGACACAACCCCGGGATTCCTCCATAGCTCCTTTACAACGCATCCAGATATGAGGCCATTATCACAGGGATGCACATGTTTCCACACACAGGGGCAAGGAGGGCCGTGCAGGTAGACGGCTCTGAGATTTTCTCCATGTGGCATTCCTGTTTCATTTGATCTCAGAAGTGAATGAAATGCCAGCACAAAGGCCACAAATTCATCAGTGCTGCTTCATTCTTGCCTTTTTGTCTAGCTGAGCAGAATTCACGATTATTCAAGAATCCTTTTCAGAGATTCTTTTGCTGCATCGCCTTTCTCTGTCCGCTGAGAAATAATTGCTTTTGCAGTGCAATCATGGCACACAATGCAAGAAGAGCCAGTTGGTTATAAGGTAATAATGTGAATTTATTGGCCGTGACTCCATTTTATTACGTGCCAAACAAAGCCAAGTAAACCATTGATGTTATTTAAATTAGCTTCAGAGCATGCACCATTTAACCTTTCCACGGTGAATTTTGTTGCAGGAGGAATAAACCGAGCAGGGGCAGCCGTGCCCACGTTCCTGAGGACCCCCACCGTGATCCAGCCGCACCTGGACATGAAGCCCTTCCTGCAATTCCCCATGGAGACAGCCCCCCCTCCACACAGCATGAGCCTCTTCCACAACTTCAGCACGGTATGCCACCATATGTAAATACACGTGAAAATACCAGTTATACATAAGAAGGCAAATAATGACAAACAAACAACAAAACCAACGTTTTAGGAAATGTTTTTAATAAGGCCAAACTATCTACTTTAAAGATGAAAACTTTTTCCTTAATATACCTATATTGTACATTCTTTACTGTGCATTTGCTTATAAATGCAAAAGCCTGTGGTACTGGATTTAATCACAACAACTATATGCCTTAGGTGGAATAGAATCAACAGTAAACAACACACACACACATTAACAGACAGTTCAGTCAGACAGTCAAATATTCTTTAGCTATTTAGGAATTTTATAGTGGTACTATAATTAAATAGTGATTACAAACTTTAATAAGTGTTGCTCTAAACTAGTCTAATAAGCTTACAACGTTACACCTAAAATTGGGAATGGTGCAAAAATGGTTGGGCTATTTCTATTAGTCTATTACTATTAGTCCCAAGAGTTCACAGCAATTTTCATTTTAAGTTTGTAGATATTCATCAAAAACAGCCCACCTCTTCTGTGGGAGTTCTGCATCAGCTAACAAGTGTGAATGCATATGTTGACCATATGAATGGTAGTATGAAATGAATCAGTCTAAAGGGTACATGCGTTTTTTGTTATGTTATTGTGTCTAGAATTTTATTTTTGCTGTTTTATGTTATATGTGCATTTGTAAAACTCTACAATGTTATAATGTTGTTACCTCATCAAAAACATGCCTTAAGAGGTTTTAGATGTCATCCATGCATGTTTTAGTATTTTAGCACTCTGTCCTGGGCACTATTCAAACCCTTCGTATGTTTAACAGTAAGAGTCTGTACAATTCTCAGTCAACAAGCCAACATCCATGCTCCCACACAACAATTCTCAATAAAAATTCAAAAACATGATACGAAGCACACACACTTGACAAACCTTATGCAATGTGCAGTAGTTTCATTAGCAGGATGCATGCTGATTGTGTTGTGATAGCGCTCTGAAGGGGAAGTGACATGGAGAGCAAAAGGAGGGGAGCCTCAGATCGTCGAAAGTGAAACTTATAAAATATATTAATTAAAGTTGGCAATCTAAAAATGCATTAGCAGCTAATATCTCATAGAAGTAAAATACACTCTTTAACAAATAATAAATAGTAAATAACAAATAATAAAAATTAAATCAAAGATACTTTTTGTTTATTCTGTTTCTACATCCTTTTACACCATCTTGTCATGGGGATTGTACCTTTAGACTCCAGAAGGACCATGAAGCATTGGAATCTGTGACCTATGTGTATCCTAGCTTGGCCTGGCCTAGCACTATTAATGGACTAAAGAGGTTCCTTGAGTCTTCTGCATTTCAGCTGGTGTATATTTGGTTTTGCAATTTGCTACGGATCTGTGTGCTAGCCTCTTTCAGTTAATTGGAAGTCATTCTCACTATGGCACTACAGGGAGTGTAACAGGAGTCCGAGTGCTGTTAAGCACATTAGAAGTTGCATAGTAGGTTAAGAGCCCTCCTTGGACCATGACATAAGAGGAATACCCATTGATGTCAAACACCGCACCCAACACACAAGGATTAATAGACACGCTGACATTATCCAGGCTCTGCTCTCTTCATTCCTGTGTCTATTGTTCAGAACTGTTTCTCTTCTTTTCTTTGGTCTCTGTAACATTCTCCAAAAATCCCCACTGTCCTTCTTTCGGCTTGTTCAGTAATCTGTACCAGCCTGCCACACTCCTCCTCCTCACAGAAACTGATCAAAGCCGGCTGTAGTCTTAGTATAAACTGGACCTAGTTTAGATTTTGTCTTTTTTTATTCATGTGCTTCTGGTTTATAGCTTAGGTAAGGTGCACTGTGTAACAATTTTGGTAGGTGGTCCGTCACCTTCTTGTTTCCATGATGCTTTGCTTGGAATGTTCCATAGTGACATTAAATCTAACATTGATGGAATTACTTGTGTTTTCATAACTCTAGTATACATTGAAAAACAAACATTCTTATTGTGAGTGTAGTCCTCTCTCCGCCTGTAATTTGGCCTGGTGGTGTAACTTGCTTGTCTCCATGAAAATAGGTAAGTTTACTGCCACATTGTGAAAGATTCCAGGCAAACAAATAACAGACAAGCAGGGAGAAAAGTGACACAGTACACCTTTATCAGTGTCACTATGGTCCCAACTATGTCCCATTACTCATTTTAATGATTGATTTGCTTTTAGATCTGCCTTCCTCTAACACAACTGGTCTGGTTTCAACCTGGAATATATTAGTCTCTCCTGATCAGGTTCTACTGCTCTAGTCCTGGTTAAATTCTGGTTAAGAACTGGTTCAATCCTGATCCTTGTTTTTGTACTTTTTATTTTGATGAACTTCATATTTACTGATGGTTTGAATTTCTTCAGAAATCAAGACTGACTTTCTCTGTTGCTCTTTTATAAATATTAACATACTTTGTTTGCATAATATTCCCCACGTGTTTGAATGCTGAGGCTGGCAAGTTGTGGTGCTCTTCAGGCTTGTGGCCAGAAGAGGGGGCCAGAGGAGAGGCTCGGAGGACACTCTGACCTTTCTTTTTCTGTAGCAACCCTGGCTCATTCTCTCAACACTGGCACATTTGCACTATAATAACAGTTAATGGCATGGACAGATGATCGGTGCTGTAATGATCCCAAATGGCATCCTGTATGAAAGAAACTGGAGAGAGAACTGTGATGGTGTAACTCATGGAATGCAGACTGATTTGGGTAATTTATAGCCATTTAGACCTTAGATTACACAATTTTTATTTGTTTTGCTTTTGTTCTGTATATATTTTTTTCTTATGACTTCCAAATGTTGCTATTCAAGACAGTTTTTCAATTTATCCTGGCTAAATATGCTTTTTATTTTATGCCATTTTGAGAGTTTTCTATTGAATGATTGATTTACCAAAGTTTACAGCTTGGTTTAGTTTGTATTTAGTCTATTCTGTCCTTATATAGTAATCTACATTTCAGCTGTACTACATTATGTGAAATCACTGGCGTAGCACAGTCCCTGTTGTTTTGAATGCATGCAGTGTAAAGGACTGCTTAGGGAGGCACTTTCAGACATTAAAAATTAAGAAAAAGAAGACATTGCGAGTGTCTTCTGCTAACAACCAAACTGTGTTGGTGTTTTCTCACAGAATCAGTGAAGCCCCCAGCTCTGTCCGCCCTGCTTTATGTTTAATTTAGTTGTGTGCATTTGTAAAAGGAAGATTCCCAGTTTTAGCGAGCATTTCTGTTTACATCCTCTACGCCGCTTTATGGTTTGTTTCACTTTTAGGCAGAAGAATCTTTAAACACCGTGAAGGAAGTACTGGAGATGAACTCCTGTTAATTTACATTTACAAGATATCGTTTAATCTCTCTCATGCCTTCTGGTTTATGTCTGTGAGGGATCCATGCCGTATATGTAGAAATAAAGCTTTTATAACTGAGTGTAGCGGTACCCTCTAGAGTGGCATTACTGAGCTAAGCTGCCGGCGAGCTCTTGTACTGCTCCTGTTAAGTGATGAGTCCCGAGTTTGTACAGCCCTAATGAGACTCTACTTCAGATGGAGGGTTATTATCTTTATTATAACAGAGGAATGGTCCTATCCTGAAGTCCTACACAAGTATAATGGTTTTCTAATGTGATTTGCCCTCTACCTGGATGTCTGGTCCAATGTGCCTTAAGACAGTGACATGGTTGAATTATTTATTAGCAGTTGCTCCTGATATAGAAACATCTTATGCATAGTACATCATTATTCTATACTGTGTTCAGATTCACCCCACGTAAAGCCAGATTTAAATGTGTATTGCTTGGTGCATGTTGTTCTTATTCAAAAATGGTTCAATGTAAGTTTAATCTACATGACAAACATTACATCATTGTTACATCACTTCCAAATCATGTCCAAGTCTAAGAGAAACTTTTGAAAGCTGAGTTTAGTGTTTTGAAGTGCATTCTTTCAGACAAACCAACAGACTGATGTCTTCTGCTGATGATGCCCTTGAGACCATTCATTATACTATTGTTTCTAGCACTTTATTCTTTTGCCTGAAGTCCCCACAGAAAATGACTTGCATATTTACGCAAGTCAGTGTGATTTTGTTTGGGACTGCTCTTTGGGAGGCTCTTTGTACCTAAAAACAAATGTTGCAATTTTATTTCTTCCGATTATTCCTTTCTATTTTATGTCAGCATCCATTTTTCAAAAATGCAAGAAAGCCCCCACAGTACTTCATAAATTCACTTTCTATTCATTTGGGACAGATTTTTCCTAAAACCTTTTCCTTGCAGGTCACAGTCAAATTATTTTCTCCTAGCATGTTGTTGTTTAGATTATCCTGCTTGTGTACAGACTGTTGATTAGCAAATTACTAAATTAGATTTTGGGTACTTGTTCTGGATTATTCTGTAGTTAAAGGTCCTATATTATGCAAAAATTGACTCTTGTGAGCTTTAAGCCATGTTATAATGCTGTTACCACATTAAAAGCATACCTGGAGTTGTGTTTTATTTCATTCTCACAAGTTTGAGTAACGCTGCATAATTTGTCTGTCTACATCTCCAAACCTCAAAATGCTCTCTTCCACATTGTGATGTCATGAATCTTTCAAGTTAACAGCTACTTTTTACCTTTAGTTCAGTAGAGACCGGTAGAATGAAATTATCCAAATGATTCTATTAAAGGTGTATGGAGTTTTAAAAGCACTTCCTGTATTTCCACATGACATCACAAGGTGGAACCAAGTGCTTTCTGTTTGAGAGAAGAACTCATCTTAAATATGCAGGGTTTGTGTGTTAAACATGTATGAATGAAACTAAACACAACTGCAGGTATGTTTTTGACAATGAAACAACAGTATAACACCCTAATACAGCGTAATATATGCAATTTAATAAATCAGATAAGCAATAATTAAACATTGTAGTTTTGATGTGTTTTCAAATATTTGCACAATCAAAACAGCTCCTTAAAATTATATCCATGTAATGAATAGGTTTAGTTCCCACGGGACCTAATCATCATTTATGTGAATTTGGCTATGGCCTGAGGCGAAAAGTTCACTGTGTGTAGCTGTGGTTAGGGACTTTTTACTGGGAGGGGGTGTTGTTGCATGGGTGAGGCTCAAATCTCCAGTTTCTTTTGATGACATATGATCGATGGTGCGAACATGCACAGGGGGGCGTGGGGGTTGACTTGCAGGACCCTGTACATCTGGACACATTGAGTATGCATGAGGAATGGGGCGCGATAGGTTCCAGCTCCAGCAGAAGGGGGAGGAGACAAGCGCAGAGCTGTGCCGGAGAACATACTCTTTACAGGGGAAAGCCGGAGAGAAGGAGAGAGCTTAGACGCACTTGTTTGATGATGTGTCAGCTATAACATTTGGTTTCTGTTTTGCTTCAGCTGTATGTAAGGAAAAAGAGAAAGGAACTCTTATACTTGAAATGCATCTCTAGACTAGATCTTTTGAGTTAGGATTCTGAGTTGGTATCTGACCAGTGCAGCTGAATGAGTGAATGCAGCGTAGCCAGTCTCACACATGCTGAGACCCAAACAGGAGCACCAATGCAGCTAGAAACCTCAGCAGAGACAGAGGAGAAGAAGGTGAGTTTGAGAAAGCACTTTAAGATGATTTTTTCCAGCTTTGTTGTAATCTGGCACAAGTCAAAAGAACTGAGGAACTTGTCTTCAAAGGGGGTTGTTATCTCGCTCTGCGCAGAGTGTGTGTCTCATAGTGTATTATAGTCACTGGAATTCAACTCTCTTAAATGTTTTGCTGAACTGATCAAACATAGACAATGCCAAAGGGAAGGATGAAATATGTTCACATAAACAGTTAAGATGAAAAATGGGAAGTCAAGTTTCTTTCTGCTCAAGTGGCATTGTCTACACTAGAGGCGTGTTGGGTTATTTCTGAGTTGTTGACATGAACACTGTGATGCTAGACTCTGTGGTTTGTCTGGTGTAGTTGTCTGCCATCGCTGTTACCACTTTCACTAAGCACTTAAACTAACTATAGACTCTTGAAATAGCTGTCTTTACCTCATACGATTTATTTATAACTTAACAGTCTAATAAATGAGTGTCACTTTAGATTCTGATTCGACCACAATATTTTGGAAACATTCTGACACTGTAAGGCTTTCCTCCAGTCCATGAGACTAAGTTTTGGCTAACGTTTAGGCAAAGGGGTTATGACTATAGCTCTCTGAAAGGCTTCCTGGCAGAGTGAATGTTTTCTTCATTTCATTAGTATTATTTTTCAGTGCAGTCCAGTTCAATAGATCATAGCCGATCCACACCCAGTCTTTGGACACATTGCAACTTAAAGGAGAGTGAAGCATTTCCACATCCACAGTCCCATAAAGTTACATACATTTATTATAACATTTGGCATTTAGTGTTTTTGTGTTTTATTATGTCAAAACCTGCCATTATATGTGTTGATAATAACCATTTAATTGGCTGGTTTAGGGGTCCATAGATGAATATTTTTAGTCTAAGGTGACATGAATAATGACGCCTTGAATCATAATGCCTTTAAGGATACCCAATATGTTTGCATGTTGCATTATTCAAAATAATTCGAAGTGCACTGGCAGGCCTTCATTGTAAGAAGAAAACTGTGAGAAGAGAAATAAGCCAAATCCTAATTTGTTTATTAACACAAATGTACCAAATGCATTATTATCTCTTATTGCAGTAATTGAATGCATATTATTTGACCAGTTATCACAGATGACTTTTCTTTAGAGGGACGCTTCAGGGAATTGTGGATTTATGTGGTTGAGAAACAGCCAGATGCGATAAGAGAGTGTGATGGGAGGACGTCCGGACTGGGCCCCAAACTCCCTTTCACTTCTCTGCTTTTCTTCGTCACCACTTCCTCCCATCCGTCCATCTCCCCCTGATTCATACAGCCCTCCAGATGGCGTGTTTCTGTACCATCCTGTCAGGGCCACATGCCTGGGCTCTGTTGGGCTCTGTTTGCCGTGTTTCCTCACGGTTGCTGAGTAACACTTCCACAGAAACTTGAATAGTTTAGTCTTTCTTTTGGTCCCTCCTTCGGCCAAATTCTTCAGTTTGTTTATAAGATGACACTCTCTAGGCGTAGAGTAGCCTTGAGTTATAAACCTGGTCATTAGCCAAATTACTCTACAGCAATAAGCCAAAATTTGACTCATTTTTCCATTAAAGCCAAGAATTCAACTTGGACATGTTTTTGGAATATTTTTACGAAGCATAGACATAACATGATATGTGTTTACATTGAATAATTTTATAATTCCTTGTTGACTTCTATTTGAACAGCACCACAATTAAACTTCACCAGCCATTGACGCCAGGCTATGATCTATGAGCTATCATCATTAACCTAGTGTCATTTTCAAACACAAGTAATTGGAATGATGCCCATCTGATCAGTGTTAAAACAGAGGGATTAGCCACTGACATGCTAAAGCTAGCCAGTTAAATTTAAACAAGGTGCTTAAGTTGCCACCAATGATTGACAATGCAGCTGAGACTATTAACACTCTCCAAGGACTATTTGGATTGAAAACTGATCTGGGATTAACATGTTGTAAACACCTAATAACAATACACACAGCATAAAGGTTAAATAAAAAAAACATGTGTTACTACTTATAACTGTAACTTATGTCATGTTTTTCTGAATGATTGGTGCAGTTTGTTTGTTTGTTTGTTTGTTTCACTATGTCATTGCCATTTTAAGCTATTTCTGTTGCTTCTGACAAATGCTCTAACCTCCAAGCAATTTTTCATGGTGTGATCACAACAAAATATGCAGAGATAGTGGCATCTAAAGAGATTCATTAATTGTAGAACGGAGATGACATTTTACCCCAAACAAGAAGTCTGTATTCCTTTCAAAATTTTATTAGGAAATCTCAGTATCACCACACACTGACTCAATAGAAATCTTGTGCATGCATTGTTGTCTAAAGACCTCGGGGTGCCCCATTCATCAGGCTGAAGGCCACTTTGTGTTCAACCCTTCTTTGTAATGGTCTGTCCTCACAAGGAGCTGTGAGAGTAGTGTATGAAATATGGCCGCCAGACATTTTCCTGTTCTTATTCTCTTTCTATGTTTCTCCTCTGTGCTTTAGATGGATCCGGTGCAGAAGGCTGTGATCAACCACACTTTTGGAGTCCCTCTGGTCAAAACCAAGAGGCCAATCATCTCCTGTAACGTCTGTCAAATCCGCTTCAACTCCGAGGTACAGTCCCGTAAAGAAACACTACATTTCGTCATCACATTTTGAATTACATTTTGACATTCTTTGATAATCTAGGCATTTCTCCACTGTGTTCATAAGGCCCCACATCCTGTTTGCTCTCCTGAGGATATGCTACATTTGTTTGTGTTACGTTTCAGCTGTCCGGAGTCTGGTGGAATTTAATTTGTTTTAAGACTAGAGTCAAATAATCACAAGAGCACAGGAACAGTTGTAGCTGAGTGCGAAAGAAATGTGCAAAATCATACATGCACAGCAATTAGCAACAATCCAAAGAAAAAGAGATTGCCAAGACTAGTAAGTAATATGGTATTTTTGGTCCATAAGACAGAATGCAGAATCCAATGAGCCAGTGTAACCGATAACAGTGATATTTTGGCTTTAAACATGGAAATTCCTCTAGCTTGTCAAAACTGGATGATGCTATCCTGATAGTGAACACATGTATGAGGTATTTTTAGTGAGTCACTAAGTCAACAATGTCAAATTAATCCTGCATGCTTTATTTCGTTCTTTATTTTAATCTTTCTGGCCATATGGTTCAGTTTATTGTGATCATAAACTTGTAATGCAAGTTTAATCACACATTGTGGGCAACCTGCACAGATGAGTAATGGCAGATTAACAAACATCATGTGAACGTTTTCTAGTCTTGCACCAGTCCAATCCTTTCTCTCTGTTTTTCCTCTATGGACCAAAAGGACAGACAGTGGTGTCACGTGTACACTTTGTAATTTGGCTCTACTCAGACCCAGGCCAAAGCATGCGCCCGTCCACAGCACTCAGCGTTAGGGTGTGGACCAGGGCTATATATACTCGTCAGGTCTACAATCAAGGCTTCCATGTGGCCACAGAAGCACAAGCCTGTAATCTGTCTCACTGTAAATCTTCAGTCGACAGGAAGCAGTTTTATAGAAGAGACACTGCAATGGGAGGTTTTGATCCATGTTGTTCAATATAGCAAGAGGCTCTTAAATCTTATATGCATCATGTGTATTGTGAATGGTGGTTTTATTTGACATACGGCATAAGTCATAAAACAATGTAAAAATGTTTAAAAGTTAACTGCAACTTTTCTGTAAAAAGGTCATTGCTTATTAGAATGTGGTCTTCTCTGGGCTTATTCATCATTTAGCCAGCCTACTGTAGCCTGTACATTATTTTATTTTAAATCATAATAATCTAATAAAAAAATGCAGGCTCTAATACAATGATTCTCAAGCTAGGGGTCGCAGTCCCAAAACACTTAACAGTGGATCCGTAGGCATGTTAAATTACTCATATAGCATATTTTATCATGATAACTTGTTGTTCCATAACATCTTCCTTATAAGACAGTAGTTGGTGTCCCCAGAATAGCTAATGGTAAAAGAGGGGACTTACTGTATTAAAGCCTAACAAAAGCCTAATAATAACCACCATCATAAGATATGCTTTTTGATATTGTTTCATTTGGTGAAAAAAGCATTTCACAAAATCATAATAAATTCATAAGTCACTGATGTGAGTTTGCATGTTGTCCATTGTCAACGCCAAAACATAAAAATGACCTGTCCCTTCTTAAAGCATAGATTAGTGGTGGTATGCCTGTTGAGAAGCACATGGACATTTGTTGACATGTTTAGTGCTCAGGTTTAGGTTCATGCTTTCTAACACCAGACATGTGACTTTGTGAATGTGGCATGTGTGCATATAGCCCCTCCTTGTCACTGCTGTATCAAAGCCCTCACTGCAGTAGATCAGCCATTGTGAATGTATGACAGCTCATGTATAGTTTGTGCTGCTCCACTAAGCTACCTCCCCCAGAAAGCTTCAGACAGACTCCCTACCCACGCTGCTCTTTTTACATAATGCCACATCAAGCCGAATTTTTCATGGACTGAAATAAAACAGCGGGAAACTGTGCAGATTAAAGACTGACTTTTGCAGCTCCAGTGTTGATGAAAGTCCTTTTCTCCTTCCTTGATATTTTCGGTGTGCTCCGCCTGTATACACTGTTGTTTAAGTCAGAACATTTGAAATGGGTTTGCTGTTTAATCTGTGTCATCATCAGAGGAGGTTCTTTGAAGGCCCAATCATGGCGTCCTGCCCTAACCGTGCACTATCTCAGTATTTCACGCTTCATTTTATCTGCAATTCACCTGACACATTTGATCATTTTCTAGGCACTCCTGTCCTCATGTCTGGCTGTATCCTCTTTAGCTATTATTCTTGTCTGTCTTTCCCTTTTTGCTACATTATTTACAGTGTGGAAATACCTAAAATTGCCTGCCACTACTTATTTTATGATGCATTCGTCATGGCCATGTGTTAGTGTCCAGGTCTGACAGCCCCATTGCATTTTGGGATTGCGACTGCTGTGCGTGTCCTGTGAGGTGCTAAAGGCATTATGCTGTATGCAGAATAACCTTGTGGCTGCTGCTGCATTAGTGACATCACAGCTCTGTGGCGCTGCATTGACCAATGTCACTGTTGCTGCAGTGAGCTCCGTCCTCTTCTCCTCAGTCTCCTTCACGCACTCTCATTCGCCCACAGCTCGGGTTCTCCCTCACTTTTCACTTCCTCTTTGCCTTTCTCTGCTTTGATCTGAAGCTGCAGCTGCTACACTCCAACATCACACTCGTCTCCCTCAGAAAGACAGTTACCCACTTGTGCAGTTTGAGTTCAGGGAAGACATGCACACACACATCCAACATCAATATTTGAATGGGAAAAAAATGAAATGTATTACTATCATTTCAGTTAAGGATGGGTGATATGGTGATAAAACTCTAATCGTGATCTCATCCCTATGACGATCTGCAATATTGGTGATATTGTGATTCACTATTTCTCAGTTGAATGCATCTCTTTTTCCCACTTTGTTCTCGAACCAATCACAGTGACTGTGAGCTTTCAGAAGAAGCAGATGACTTCATTTATCTCAAATGCAACAGAAAAATACAAAGCATAAATGAACCATGATCAAATAGATGGCCCCAAAGAAAACGTTGTATACATTTTTTCCACCACATTGTCTTCCCTTAATTTTAGTAGATAACATAACCACTGTTTCCATCTCTTGCCAATATTGTTTTGATTATGAGCACCACACTTTTGCTTTTAACTATTTTGATTACCAACAGTGAATTTGCCCAATGGTGTTGTTGCACAAATCAATTATTCTAGATGTTTTTCTCATATTGTACAGCTTCCTTAGTAGCAGTACGTCCTTCCATCTCCCTCTTCTTTATTCAGGCGTATTCTCAACAGCTGTTGGCCAGTTGATCCCTTTGGCCTGCAGACAGGGGTTAAGCAAACTTCTGGAGCTGCCTGTCCACACTGCATCATACACCTTTGGATCCCTCTCAGATCTCTGACATTATTGACCTTTTCTTCTCCCTGAGTCTCTGTCCATCTTGATCTCAGGGCATTTGCTGAACTCTTTCTTAAGGCCCCCTTGTTTGGATACAGCAGGGATAGCTAAACTAAGAAACAGTTTATATTTACAAGAAGCATGCCAGATACTAATTCAAGTGGAAGCCATCAGACACATACAGCGTGGGTACAGTACAGTGGGGCTCATAGGCATTACCCATCAGCCCCAGCTTCTTTTGTTAGGCCATCTCGCTGTGATCCTGTGGTCAGTACAATGTCCTAAGTGTCACTGAAAATATTCCTGGCTTTCAGCACATACGGCAGCTGTCAGCCCCTCTTCAAGACACACTGATCCAACCACTTTACACTAATCTTATCATAGCCTCTTTTTTGTACTTTTATGTGGCCACATGGCAGGACACGTTCATTAAAAAAGGGAAACTATTTGACTATGAGCCTTGAAGAAGACAGCAATCAGACTAGTTTTATCTTATGTACTACTGTAACATGTCTGATCTATAAACATTTGTCCCACAATGGAGAAATTCCGATGTTCAAATGCAGGAGGAGAATAGAAATACACAAGCAAAATTCTAAGTAAATGACTATTAAAAATAAACATATGCTGAGCAAACAGTGTAACAATACAAGGCTACAACACTATTATGCACAATAAGTGGCATTGTCTATGATTCTTTACAGAGCAGCAAAAGCAAGAATCCTATACACAGTATAATCAAATACACAATGCTGTTTTACTAGGACTAGCATAGGCCTGTCACGATAATTACTATATTGAATTATTGTTCAATATATGAAAGTTGGAACAATATTTTTTGGGGTCAATATTTATTATTTATACATTTTCTTTGCACTACTGGGAAATTTATGGTTGTTTTTGGCTATATGTTAAGATTTGAGCTGTAGAAAGTTGAATTAATAACTTAATAAGGTGTTTCATTCTCATGTTTGTTTATATATTGGTGCTTATGATTTTTAAATGATATTGTACATTTAGAATAGTTTTTGTGGTATAAATCTGCTCTTGGGTTTTGAATCAGTGACATAAATGAGTTTCAGTTTCACTATTGTCTACATTTTTTTCAGCATTATATCACACTTCAAAATTTGTTATCGTGACAGGTCTACTGGCATTTATCTGTGTATTTGAAGCTGATACCTTTTGTTTAAACATTGACCAACCTTGTGCTTGCAAGTTTTCTTGCTCTTAACACTTAATCTCCAAGGTCAAATGTTTGTTTTATTGTTTCCACACAACCTCTATGAAGATATCATTTCTCTTCACCTGTCAGTGGTAAAATGTCTGATCAGAGTATAATCCCACTGTAAGCATTATGGCAGTATGGTATGGTACATAAAAGGTTATATAAATATCCCATGATCCAGGCGTGTGTTTATGTACCATTGTAACACATGGACACTAAAGCTAGACTTGTGGCGGCATCTCTTTATAGCAACATACTTCCCTTCCGCCATATTGTTTTGATGTGAGATATTCTGTAACTCGCCTGAGCTATCTAGATAGATTACTCTTTTGTTTACTGTCTAGACAAACATATTAGCCGGTAGCAAGTTGCTCATTGAAGCTTCTGCAATACGTTTCTCACTACAGTAATGCACTTCAAATCCCAATCTAATCTAGATCTTGAGTTATTTTTCCCAGCTGCTAGTTTTTTATTGTTGAAGGCTCGTTGTAATGGTAATCTGTCCACTGTAATAATATTACAGTGTGCATGTTTTGAAAGCAGGTCAAAATGAAGCAGATGAGTGCGCCAAGCAAATAGTTCAGGCATCCCGCTGACCCCAAGCTCAACTCTCACTGGCATGTCAGTCAATGTGGCTCTAATAATGAAGGCTGGGACCTTGCATTGGCAGCCACAGTGTCTACTCTGCACACTCTACTGCCAAATTATTAATTTGTACTGATATTCAGTAAATCACAATGCTTCTAGATATTGATTTTGAAAAGTCTCATTCAGCTGTTGGTGTGCAATCAGAGTTTTCTTTCACTTTATTATGATGATTATTATTATTATATGAATTGTATTTATTAATATTTTATTCATTCTGTAATTCATGTTTTGTATTCTTTTTTTAATTCTAATTCAAAATGTTCCATTTACCGTGATATTGCTATAATTTCTAAATTAAGATATTGCATGTTATTACATAATGCATATTGCATGACATTACGTAATGTAAAGTAAATGAAATATTGTTCATGTAAGCATTCTACTTGTTCCTTCTGTGGATAGCATGAAATGATAGGAACTGTTCATCAAGTGTTACTGCTGGTGCAGACACCCCATACCCAAGAAGTGTATGAAAAATTTAGGCTGACCGAAAGTAGAGTCTTTGGCCCTTGAATGTGTCTGGTATTACATCACTGTATACCAGTAATCCACCCATCTCTTCACTGTAAAGCTGTCTGCAGTCTGTGACTGTGTCCCCAGTGTATATTGAATAACATGCTGTCATAAAGACATGCAAATGTGTGTGTGCTACCCTCCACTGTTTTATTCACCTGCTGCTGTTGCTGTTCCTTCATGTGTTCTGTGCAGAGCCAGGCAGAAGCACATTACAAAGGCAACCGCCACGCCAGGAGAGTCAAAGGCATCGAGACCTCCAAGAGTCGTCCTCAAGACGGGGACAAACCTCCTACTGTGCCCCCCACCTCGTCTCCATCACCGCCTGGAGTCCACAGCAGTACCTCTGACAGTGAGCCAACCAGCAAACCAGGTGAGTGCTCCAAGAACCAAGAAGACTCAAGTTTTTCCCATGAACTTTGGGGAATCATGTCTTCTTTCTTTTGTTGTAAGTGAGGAAAGTCAAATCTTACGAAGCACGTATAACCTTGATCCCTGGAGGGGCCTTGCCACACACATGTTACACTTATCCTGAAAAACATGATAATCTTACGGTTATTATTACCGCTCTGATAATATGTTATTTTCCTGAGGTGGCCCTAGATCGGGAAAGCCAAAGAGGAAAAAAAACACATAAACACACAAATATGAAATTACAGTTTTTGAGTCCCCCATTCTATGCAAACATATCAGGTCATTGTGTGGTCACCAGTGACTCCAGCCAACACAACCTCAGCCAAAGCAAAAACACATAACAGGAACTCTAGGCCATATTTCTAACTCAGAAAAACAAGTCACTATGAAAATAACACAATGAAGACTTCAGCATAAAACACAGATTTTTACTATAATTGAATTGTGCTGGACGTTTGAGAATGGTAATGAAACACAGATAAAATGTTGAGGTAATTCATTTTTATTGAACATAAAATTCTAGATTTGGAGCATGTTGGAAAAGTGTTACAAATTCTGGCAAACGCTTGATGAAAACAGATGATCGTCAGATGACTGAAGGAAAACAGGGCTCAACTTAAAACAGAAGAAATGCATTCATTCAAGCCAAAACTCTCAGTCTCCTCTTAAGCCAATATATCATCATGTAAAATGTATTCATTGCACCTACTAGTGACAGGGCAAGTTCATTACAAGTTATTCTAGTCTGGGTCAGCATTTGGGTTTCTGGAAGGGTTTGCTCAAAGCTAGTGCAGATTAAATGTGACTACTTAAAATTCAAGACAGATTGTGGGTTTGAATAGTTTGTTTTTTTCCACTAGATTTAAAGGAAGCTAAATGTGCTCTTTAATTAATCTTCTGGTCAGAAAAGGACTACAAATCAGGCGCGCCCCCCCCCCCCCCCTCTCTCTCTCTTTCTCTTTCTCACTTTCTCTTCTCTTCCCTTCTCTCTCTGTCTCTGTCTTTCTATCTCTCTGCATGGTATCTGAGACTGAGTGACAGGCTGATGGCATTATTATTGCAGCGCATTGAAACAACCCTTGTCATTAGTCCGATCCTGGCCACAGCAATGCTTTGTTCACTTCAAATATGTGTCCCCAGTTAAGAGTGTGTTTAGCCTCAGAGCAGGTGAATGGCACGCTTTCAAAGATCCTCACAATGCTGTTGATGTGCTTATGTCAGTTTAATACGTCTTAATGGGGAATCTGCAATGGGCCAGTGATAAAGGTCGTGCTTTGGACTCTTGTTACTCACTCAACATCAGATCATATTATCATCATTATATTAACTAATAAGGAGCCATCCTTTAGGGGACACTAATGTAAATCATATGCCACTTATTATTGATGAGTTTCAGTTGTGCTTTTTATAAGCAACATTTTGTGGGCATTTGGCCATTCAAAAGATAATTTGGTTTAGAATTGTTTATTTTTCACTTTTTATCATTATTATTATGGTTGCAGTAAGTGGGATTATATTTTGTTATAAATTTTGATTTCCATTGATACAACTGACTGTATAACAATTGTTGGATTGCTTATGATTTACAGTTCAGAATAGTTTAAGTTTTAACTGTAGTCTGTACACTACCAGTCAAAAGATTGGACACAATTTTTCATGTATGTTTCTTCTTTATTTCCATCATTATTTACATTGTAGATACTCAATTAAGGCATCATAACTATGAATGGACATGTATGGAAAGCAGTAAACATTAAAAAAAAAACTTCACTCTTTGCTTTGATCACTGCTTTGCACTTCTTGCATTTCTTGACCCTGACAAACCCTTGGCCCTTGACCCTTGAGAAGGCCAAGGGTTTGTAGTCCACAAAGCTACTAAGGAATTTGAGTAAAACTAAATATAAAATAATACTGAGTTTAGTTATTTCACTTTGTGTATATAAAATGTAGAAAGTAAATGTATACAAAAATAAGAAAAAGAAGGTGTGTCCAAACTTTTGACTGCTAGTATACATATGCAGATAAAGGCAGATGTAAAAAAAAATCACAGAAATAAAAAGACCTTCACCATGACAATTACATCGTCAACATTAAAAAAGTAATCAGTTCTCTATTTTGAACCATTTCTGAAAGTCTACCATTAAATTATGATGCTATTTGTTAAGAACAAAAAAAGACAACTTCCTTGGTAGATATAATTAAGACAGTTCTTTTTAATTGGCATACAGACAACAGATTGTAAGAGAGTAAAAGAAAGTAATTTATTGTTGGCTGCAATTATTTACCAGTTGCTAAGAGCAGAATTTTAATCCTCATCTTTAGTGGGATGCCATTAGGTTTGCACTGTGCTCTGATCATCCTATTTCCAGTTATATTTCTTGGCACAGTGCTGGTTCTGTTGAGCCTCTGCCCTTCTCCTTCCTTCTGTGATTTTCCATTCTCTCAGTGTCACTTGGTCCCTGGATCAAAAAAAAAAAAAAAAAAAACCTAAATAGAAGCACCATCTTTTCAGTGACATTTGCTGAGGTTACAGTAGTCGACAGAGAGCCAAGATGAAGAAACGAACCCATTATAGTAGGCCAATATGGAGCAACTGACCAGCACAAAGGTCACAGCATACTCCTCATGCTGGGTGTTTTGTATTTTATGTTGGACATTGTCTCAGCATGTGCCAGTCCCAAGCTCAGACAAACTGGGGGAGAAAACTGAGGGTGGTTTTGGTATGGCTAGTCATATGACAAAGAGAATACATTTTCCCTCTCATATTGATCAAGATTGAATGTTGTCTTATTGAAAACAGATATATTATTTATAAATTATAATATCCTGATGGTAAACAACAGACTTTTAATTATTGCAATTTAAAGGAAAAGCTTTATGACAGAAGATTTGTTGTGAATTAAAGCAAACTGATAATTGACCATTAAGAATGACAAATATCAACTAAATTCTTAGACTTTTGTCACTGTTGGCCAAGTTTACATGATTATTACTGTTAGAATGTTAACATTGAATGCTGTTAAAGTTACGTAATTAGCCAATAATGTTGCACGTGCTTCTCTCCCCTTTCTCCATATTATTTGGATTCTGCTGCAGACAGTGCATCTACTAACAACACTACTGCTCTATGTAACTGATTTTCTGTGGCACCTTCTGAAATGGAGCCAGCAATTTGTCCATGATTGTTCCTGTGCCCTCACCCCTTCCCCCACAGCGTTGTGATTAGAGCGCACTCCCTGAGCCAAAACAAGCCTGACATGATTGAGATCCGAGAGTAGTAACATGTGAAAGAATGCTATTTTGTATCCAAGCCACATTCTCGTGACCCCACAGCTCATCTCATCTCCCTCTGCATCTCTGGTGCAGTGGATGTGCCTGTTAGTGGTGTGGGACAGTCCACATGTTTGTATCCCCCATTGGGAAAGACTGTGTCTGGAGGGTGGACTGAGACTTGCAGAGGCCACTTTAGGGCAGCAATAAAAAAAGACATTGTACAAAGGAGACCAGGGACTGCTCAGTGTAACCATGCAGGCCTTAAAAAGGAATGATGTGGAAGATTTCCCATAGTGCAGCTTTCAGACAGCACAGAGAGGCAGTTTGCTGTTTTTTGTGGTTTGAACAAAAGTGCCGTCTGTGGAGTTATTCCATTCTGTTACATTTTAATTCAAACTGCAGCTATTGTCACTAAGTTGCAGTTTGTTACTATTTTAATGTATCAACAATTAATTTAGTTTGAACAGTCACAAAAAGCCCAAGTATGTATTCACTTTATTTACTGGGAATATTTCTAATAAAATTAGTTTTAAATGATATAATGCGTTAGATATTATGTTCTTTCTGGATTGCATCTGTTCTAAGACCTATGGCTTATCAATCAAGCATATTGAATACCATTGGTGAGTCATGCTTGCAGTGATCAGAATAGCCCATGGTCTTGTAGAATGTGGTGAGCTTGGCCCCTAAAGAGGAGGCCACTGTGGCTTTGTGGGATTTGGTGTGTTGAAGGAAGGGTTTGGCTGGAGCAGTGGGAGATGTTGAGGCAGCTGTTTACTCCGTTCTTGTCTCCTCCCTCAGCTCCTCTGTGCAGTGTGACAGGGTAATGCAGGGTCTGCTAAACCACCCTTTAGCCCACACACACACGCACACACTCAAGGTCAATTAAACAGATGACTTTCATGTGAAGGCTAGGGTTACCCGGCTGACTTTGGGATTATGTTACAAAAAGCTGATATGCTCTTACAGTGTGTCTATATAGGTGCCTATGTTTCCATTCTTGTATATGAAGTTCTTGAATGATAACAATACTTCAAATGTCATTAGCATGGTTAAGCTGTGAGTGGTTGGGAGACTTTTATTAAACAGGCCAAATAGAGTTAAAATGCACAGCACTGAATTATATATGAATTTGTAAAGCTAGCATTGGGTTTCTTGTAGCTTGTTAATGATTAAGTTCAGGCATTAGGGGGCACCAGTAGCAGACAGGCTAATCCTGCCTCAGCGACTTCTGTATCACAGCTCACTTTGCTAACCCAGAGCTGCAAACAGCACAGTGTTTTCATTCATTTTCAGTGATTATGTAATTCCATTACTTTGTGTACGGTATTTATATATTTTATGTTTACGTTAAGCACTATCAGGCCTGATTGGCCAATACGATCATCACAGATACAAAGCAGCAGAGGTGGGACCAAGTCATTGTTTTGCAAGTCTCAAGTCTTTGGCCTCAAATCCGAGTAAAGTCCCAAGTGAAAGACAGGCAAGTCCAAGTCGAGACTCTAGTCACTAGCCCTTAAGTCCAAGTTAAGTCTAAGTCGTCTGCTTTGAACTTCAAGATTAAAATTTTAAAATGCAGTTATTTTGTCATATAGTCGTCCTGCAGTGAAATGGAATGTTCTTTGGAGTTCCCTCTGTTTTCTGTATTGTACTGTATATTACTGTTTTGTACTGTATATTACTGTATTATATTTGAGGATATTGTATCACAGTACTTCAGTTACATCCAAAGTAACAAACAGAGAAGTGTGTGTGTGTTTCTCAACTGTAAAGAGAAAAGTATTTCCTAAAAACATATATTTTTTAGGATAAGCATCAAGTCTTCTCAAGTCACAGGCTTAAAGTCCTAAAGTTATTGAGCTTCAAGTCCAAGTCGAGTCCCAAGTCTATTTTATCAAGTCAAGTCTCAAGTCCTAAAAATAGTGACTCGACTGACTCGAGTCCAAGTCATGACTTGCAAGTCGCCACCTCTGTTAAGCATGCTCTTCATACACTGAAATGAAGAAATGCCTCTTTCCCATCTCCACCATTTCCATTCTCAGCAAACTAGCTCTAAAAGGGGACATCTGAAGTCCCCCATATTAAAAGATGACACTTACTTGTATGTTTCGGTATGGCTGTGTCTCTTTATTTTTGGCGTACATTTTTTGAAGTATATCTACTGTCTACTTACAGTGAACTGGCATAGATATGGCCTTCCTAACAAAAGCTTTTCATTTAATCTTAACATGAAAATTATAGTTAAGACTATATGCAAGTAAGTTAAGTTAAGTTAATTAAGTTATTTTCCTTATGGAATCACTATTGTAGGTATCTCATTCTAAAGAGAACAATAAACACAAATAAATCAGACAGATTGTAGTAGCAAGTCCCAAATGCCCATCTGGATTTAGATGGTTTATGGACTTCTTTTTCACCTCTCTCATTGCAGTATAATACTTTAATTTCCTGATAGGATTAAGTGGATGTGGACACCCCAGGCGCGGCTAACACATCTGGACTGAGTTATTCTCATACTGACCTGCACCTCGGATAGCACAGTTCTCTGTACCTGTGAGGTTGGTGCATGGAGGGAGAGCAGCTAACTGCCTTATCAATGTTTAATTAGAGCATATCCCACAGCAGGCACAGCCAAGTACCTGAGGATGGCTTTATTTAGGGCAATCAGTGAAGAAGTGTTACAATTCAACCCTGCTTGTGTGAGAGAGTTTTTCATTTGAGTATGCAAACATGAGGAAGAGGTCTTGTGAGTGAGTCCTGACTATGGAGAATGACAGTGAATGAGCAGAGCTGTGCACAGGGACCAGAACTCAAGCTAAAGTTGTTCAAACACACTTGAGGAGTGACTTGGCTGTTTCAGGTTAGACTGACTAGATCTGATGGTTTGCTATTGGCACATCTCCAGCACTTCTTGCATTTTCTATTTGGCCAATAGTGCCTCTGCTTAAACTCAAACCACATGGGTTGTGCAGTTCGAATATTGATTCTTGTTATGATAGTGAAGTCATGTGTGTTTGCTTGAATGTGTGTGGGCATTCAGAAATAAAACTATTATAAGACTGTACTATTTCTGTCTTTAACCACTCACTGACTACACTTGGGTAAAGCCTCTAAAGGCTAAACCAGTGCAGACTGTGCCCTGGCAGAGCAGGTAGGCACATTAAGAGCCACAAATCTCCTCTCACAGTTTTCTGCCTTACAGAGTACTTTGATCTCAGTCCAGTTTATAGACTGCTCACTGTCAGAAATATATATTTCTTTCTTATAAAAAAACATCTGCCTGACAGCAGCAGTGGAAGCTTCCAATGTGGAAAGAGAACAGATCTCGATCTAGGAAAGCAGTGGAATGGAAAGCATTCAGATGGCATCTAAGTCTGGATGATGCAACGGAGCAGCTACAGGAAATCTGCTGTCATCTCTCATGAAAGACAGAATAATATAATATAAAACTACTATCAAAAGTATCAGGTCCCTTATGGACTATTAGGTGACACTATTGTGCTTATGGAAATCCTTAAAAGGAAACTGAGCAGTTAATGTCAATATTTGTTGGCTCCCAGAAAGACTCTTTTCATCTAATACAATAATCCAATGGGCTTTCTCATGGTCTGCCCTCAGCGCCTCATCCTTTGGGGTTTGGACCAAGGCCCACTCCCTCCTTATGAAGGGGGTTCTGCATATCCCACCCAAAATTAGGGGGTCTTACTCAGCCCACACCCACTGCTTAGGGAATACCAGAGTCATTGCGTAGGGAGTGGTTGACCAGAAACATGTGTGCTTAAATATATGTATAAACATACATCCTCTTATTTAAAAAACACCATGTGACCACAACAATGACAATCTGCTCAGGGCTAATGGCACTGAAATGCTAGACGCCTGTGAGGCCCCCGTTAATGATATTTACTTTGGACTTTGTGTAATGCTCTGTGACAAAGCAAGTGGCATTTGGTTTCGACCCCAGTTAAAAACAACAGGTGTGTGGGAAGGCACCAAGTCAGTGGGCCCTAGTTTTCCTTTTGGCTGTGTAACATTTAATATGAAGAGACCACATCATGGCCAGATCACAGTCAGCACTTCAAAAGCCCAAAACATATTAAACTGTTGCCCATACTACAGCACATGCTTGGTTCTATAAAATGAGTGCGTGCACTATAACCAGTGGTGCCATGTTTAGTGGGAACTCACTGGTTTATTCTTTGTCTGCAGGCTGGGTTTTCCACATTTAACTGGGAGTGGCCAAGACATAGTTTATAATACAGTCCATAAAGTCAATAGTAAATCATTTTGATAGGTGTAGCTCATGTATTTAATCCTATTCTCACAGTTTTATTGTATTTTTTTTGTCTTTCTAGATGAAACTCATCCCATACCCCAGATTAATGGACCTCTGCTTCCTCCATTGAGCGACCCAACAACACCACCTCTAGACTCTCCCATTCCCTCTGTCTGCCCCATGCTATCTGCCCCAACTCCACCCCTCATGCCCCCTGCCTCGTCCTCTCCTGGCTGTGGGGGCACCAGCAGTGTTAGCAGCACTGGTAGCTCCAGCTCTGAGCAGCCTGTGTCCGGACCCTCTGCCCCCAGCGTGACGTCCAGCCCAGAGACAGAGGAGGACAAGGCCAAGAAGCTTCTGTACTGCTCACTTTGCAAAGTGGCTGTAAACTCCTTGTCACAACTGGAGGCTCACAATAAAGGTAAAACATGACAAATATTTGCAACTAAACAATTTAAATTAGACAGACTGACTTTTGGCCACAATGAGTAAATTTGAATGGCCAGTAAAAATCAGAATAACCCATTAATTAAATCTAATAATTGCTATATTCTTAAATGCTCAAAAGAACTCTAATCATCGAAACTCCCTGGTAACACGTGTCACACGTGTATTTTGGAAGACAATGCATTCTGAAATAACTCTTTCAAAGTTAAACATTTTGCCCTTTTTTGCATTTTCTTTGACAAACCCTGCTTATAACAATGTGTGTGTGAACAACGTAAATATATTAACTGTTTACATAACATTTCAATAATCTGATAACTCCAGAAATGAGATAATGATCAGATTTCTGGTGTGCATGTAAACACACCAGTGAGGTTGTTGGGCTACTTCTGTTTGCGTGAGGAAATATCCATGACCAAGTGCGCAAGCATCAACAGCCAGATGTTGTTTTGGTAGACACTCCATAGCGATATAAAAAACAGAATTGCTACAAAACAGCCGACGAAACAAAGATTTATTGCATCTAGAAGGTTTAGTCCCAATCATTCCTCACATTTCAAGTGTCTCTGTGAATATTGGAGCTACTGTGCACTTGGATCATTGCTTGTTTTACAGTCTAATTAAACACAGCTTCTCCTGAATAGGCTGCACGCACTTGCAAACAAACAGTAAATAACAACTCAAATGCTTCTGTTTCTCTCTGCGTTCTCGGCTTTTCATTAAAATGTGCCCTTAAGTGTTGAGGCTGGGGTGTAGTGCTGCAGAGGGCACACAGACACTGATCAGCAGATAACTGATCTGTCTGACAATGAGCACTGGGCTTCTGTTACACCATCACCCCAGACACCAGACCACAGCAAAACTCTGTCATAGGAACCCACTGCAAAGGTCAGGAACAGCCATGTTTCTTGGTATGAGTGGCATTCAGCAAAGGAATTCTGTCAATGTACTTGTGCAACTACATCAAGGAGGTGTTTATTAGTGGATAAACATTATTTGATGACTCCAGTATAAAATATGTTCTACATAATTAGTTTTTTAGTCTAACTAGTGAGGCCTTAAAACAGGCTGTTTATCATTGTATGCATAGCTTTAAATGTCTTAGTGTTGTCTATGCTTGTGTACAGGCAGTTATTAAAATGTCTATGGACAATAAAACTATTAGTTATGACTATTGAGAGAGAAATATTATGACTATGTATCTATTTGCAAATATTGACACTTTGACAAAAACAAACAGCAATGAAATGTCTAATAAATCACTTCCAACTAAATCATTCAACTTGTGTGATAGCTTTATGAAATTAATCTTTGACATTGGAGTGACATGAGAGTATAGATTGAATTGACATTATTTATTGTTGCCTCTGAAATGGTCATAATTATTATTTTTAGCTCTTACAAATGTATATGTTATTATTTAGGAAATTGATCATTGCCATTTATATTGAGATCGCTAATAGATAATAGTAGTCTTCAAGGTTGTAATAACTCTGGGTCATAGTTGGACAAAGTCTTTCATCCCTCTTGCAATGGTCAGTTCTGAGGTTCAGAGATGTGATTCTTTTGAAGGCAGCTTCACAGTGTGTCACTCTATAATTCGTCTGTCATAATCGGTGACAGCAGATTCTGAGTAGCTCCTTTGCCCTTTTCTCTGGGATGAGGGATGATATGAATGAATATCCCTTATGATAACATGAAGAACTGAAAAATGTTTGATATTTGTATTGTAATATCAGTAATACCCAATAAGATAACATTAGAACAAAAGGATTTCAAATATGTTATCTTACCTTATCTTGAAACATATACCTTATCTAGCTACTTAGCCTAACCATACATTGAAGAATGAAACATGTACAATATAATTCCAGTGCTGTCTAAGTATATTTCATAAACAATATTGGTGGCCAGCAGCTTAGCCTGTGTTCATTATTTTTACTTGTGCTTGATCCCTATGTTTAGGTTTCCTGGATTTCCATCACATTGGACACAATTTTCTTTCTACAACTATTACAACATTTTCCTGGCAGTTAACCAGCTAAACATGTCACCTCCACACCTCACCATACTAACATTGCAATGGAAACATTTTAGGTGGAAAATGTACACCTAAGTCTAGTCAAATTTCAAGCAGGAAAATGACTGAGATTTGGATACTGCACTGCTTTCACGTAGCAACACTGTTACCATACTGTGAATGTCCCAGAGGAGCTGGTGCCTGCTCTAATCTCTTCTGCTTTTGTGTCTCTGCCCTGTATGAATGGCTGCATCACTGGGACTGCCACTCTTTGCATAGCTCTTAATTTCATACAAAGAGCATCTGGCAGGCATTTTTATTGACAGTCGAGTAATTGAAATTCAGAACACTATGGCTATATTTCCTTTAATGCTGCCAGGCAAGAAGAAAAATCAGTGCTCGTTGTAGAACGTTTAATCAACACCACCATAACTATTGGATTAATGCCTGCTATGCGTCCATAAATCAAGCATCTTATTGATTTTAGTTGTCAACAGCAACTTGTGCTTTGTTGTTCTGCCTACTAGGATGTTTTTATGTTTGCATATATGTAAGGACAGATTTAAGACAGATCTAAACAATCCTTGAATGCTCGTCATGCCCACTGGCTACAAATGTGACCTCCAAATGATTTAAAGATCTCAAAATAGTAAATAATTCTTAAATGATATGCCTATAGAATTGAAATCATATGGGGGGCACATGTTGACATATGAAGTGCAAAAGGAAGACCAAAATCAGAAATTACTTGATTTATTGTTTATGCAGATGCCTCTTGTATGTATTGATGTCTTGAATGTATTTCTGTGTTTTAGTACACATGGAGTCAACCTTTCAAAGGCAGAAAATCCACTGGGCCTTGCTTTGTCATTGACTAAAATAGAACAAAGGGGAAAGTAGAGCCCCAAAGAGCACATTTCTGGCTTCAAGTGAAATCATTCATTGTGGCCCCCTTTCCCCTCAAATAGCCCCTCTCTCTGACCCCGGCATACCCTCTGTCTCTGGTAGTCTTTGCTACTCTTAAAGGGACAGGTTAAAATAATAAAATGGTTCAGTCAGCATATTCAGAAATATTCTTTGCACAAACAATATTGAATAGCCTACACGAACACTGCTATATCCGCCTTATAAGCTTATATCAGTTGTAAATGAAAAGGGAAATGCATTGCTCCTGTTAAAAGCCTACCTCAACAAAAATATGCTTCTCATTAAAATATATCCTTAAATTTCTTTGACATTTACAATCACAAATATTGATTTTATCCTTGCAGTTTACCTTTGTTTCCCTATATTGGCACATGTATATAGTCATCATTTTGTAAAGGAAATATTGTTTATTGCAATTTACTGCTGATGGTGCAATTAGATTAGATTGCTTAAAATTTTGCTGCCTGTTTTCTTCTTCACAGGTGTATGAAGGGTGTCCTCTAGTGGCTATAGCAAAACACTGCAGCTTCATTTCTGAACTAATTCAGATGTGGTAATTTTAACAGAACATTGCCAGTTATAAATCCTCAGTTTAAGGTTTCAGACAGACTGAATTATAAATAATGTTAATCCTATAACTTCATTCTTTATTATCCCCAAATTTGTAATTTCAGTATTGACCCTGCTGACCTGTCTGTGTCTGTCAGGTACCAAACACAAAACCATCCTGGAGGCACGCAGCGGGCTGGGCCCCATCAAGGCGTACCCACGATTGGGCCCCAAACCCAGTGGAGAGCAAGGAGGAGGGCCAGTGGACCCCAACACTCAGGAACGCACCTTCCACTGTGAGATCTGCAATGTGCGGGTCAACTCAGAACTGCAACTTAAACAGGTACAAATAGTTATAGTTATAGTCTTGTTATAGTTATAGTTATAGTTATAGTTATAATTATAGGGAATCTCTCTTATCCATTGTAACAAATGTACAGTAACCTTTTCATCTGTCTGCAGCACATATCAAGTAGAAGGCACCGGGATGGTATGGCTGGAAAGCCTAACCCTCTCCTCAGTAGACACAAGAAGCACAGGGGAGCCGATTTAACGGTGAATGTTACTATGTATCTTATTGTATATCTTTCTACTCTAAATTAATCAATTGAGCCATCATTCTTTTTTGTCTATTTTTAGTCTTCTTTGACCTTCTCCAAGGATCTCACCAAAGCGTTGGGTGCAGGGTTGTTGCCCAGCCCGTTGGCGGTTGCTGCAGCAATGGCTGCCGCTGCGTCCTCTAACCCACTGGCTCTGAGAGCAGCAGCTCCTGCACCCCACCCTCACCACCTCCTGCAGGGTCCCCCTCTGAGCCACGCTATCCTGAGACCAGCCCCGGGGCCCATCCGCACCACACACGGGCCCATCCTCTTCTCTCCATACTGACACATCAACCTAACTGCAGTCGCAGAAACAGCCACTCAAAAGCACACTGTGAAGATACAAACAACAAACAGCAATTGGGGAAATTCTGAGGGCGATTTATCTGAGAGAGCTAGAGGAGTTGATGCCAGTTTTCCCTTTACCTGAACTCTCCCTCTATTTCAAAGACTTCTGAGATTCACCAGAGAAATGAGCAGAGGAGAGATATCCATTATGCATTGAACTCCCTGGTACATCTCTCACCTCCCTGTGTGGTGGACCTGTTGAGTCGCTACAATAGCTACAGAAGAAACCCATGCAAACCATTTTCCAAACATTAAGCTACATGTAGTGTTACCTAACAACTCTGGGCAGGGTGTTTTTCTCTTGTTGTTATGGCTCAGTGTTGTCTCATCCTATGCACCTCAAAGACAATAATGTTATGTCAGTAGCGTAGCTGCTTCCATTGGTCTTAGCTGTATTGGCCTGTGGACACTCCTGCCCCATAGTGACAGTAGGTCCCTTTAGTTACAAACAAGACTTAAGCTGACAGGCAATTGGTCACCACATCTGAACAAGAGACATGCACGGCTATGGGGGACTATGCTCCCCTGTCATCTCCTGAGAGGTCTAGGTGAGAGGAGGGCTGGCATGGGTCAGCGGATGGATGGACTTCAGGCAGCATGCTAACACGCACACAGAAGCCTGAACAAATCTGTGTTTCAAAATAGATTTACCAAGAGAAACTGCTTCAGGGCACATCTGCCAACCTTTATAACAGTCAGACAGAGGCTTCACTGAAGGCAAAAAACTAGTCAAAACATATTGAATTGGACACATGCAGTACTTAGATTATATAGTAGTTTGTATGACTCATTCAGTGTTAATGAAATCATCAATATAGAAGCAATTTCCCCATTTATCATAATGTAAGCCTGTGCAATCATTTTGTTGCATGTGAACTGAAATGGTCCTGTAAGTTCTACCTTCTGCATGACTACGTTGACCTCTAGTGCAATGCCATGCCCTCCTCCTCCAACCTGCTCTCTTCTTTCATGTCCAAAGGCACAAACGAACAAAAAGTAGAGGGCGTGCTATGAATGGTGGCCATAATGCTAGAAGGGAACAAATGGTAGAGAGGAAAATGAAAGCCAAATACATTCTTGAGAAATGACGCTGAGTGGCAGTGACAGGCAAGCATGAAGCCCACAGAGGCTGCCCCGAGCTCGGACACAGCCCTAGGCATCTATCTATACTTTATCTCCTCTAACTGAAAGCCATGAAGCGCACCATGATTAGCTTTCTTTTACAATGACTGGTGAGCACTTTGTTTTCTTTGGGGTTGAATTGTTGTTTTTGCATTTATATTGCATAATATATAAAAGCAGAAAACACAAACTATTTTTGTAGGTAGCAAATGTGTTATCAATGCATTCATTGACTAGAGAGAGAATATTATTGTGGATAAATAGTACTGTTATCATTGAACCCAGACACACTGGCATGCAGGCAAAGGAAGTGACTAAGCAGCAGAAGCAGAGCTAAACCTTTTTTCTGAATTAAGATATTTACACTGTGCCCTTCATTGAGAAGCAATGAGCTCTAATGTCTTACCTTTGTCTAAATATTGCAATGCAATGGGAGTGACTTGTATCTGTGTAACATGTTGTGACATGTTGTGGAGTGAGTGTGAACTGGGAGTGAGCCAGCTGACAGAGTTCAGTGTTCTTCCATGCCCTTGGAGGGCACATTGGGACATGATGTAGACAGACTGACAGAGGTTATAGCTGGGCCCTTCATATTAAAGGGCCATCTTCAATGATAATCTCTGCTTGGGGAACAGGGTACAAAGCCAGGGATCAGAGGATTAGAGCTAGACTTGTTCATCACCATTGTTTTTGGTTGATCTTTGTCATGCGTTTATGTGTGTGTGAAATCAGACAGATTTCCATTGCCATTACTTAAACAGAAGCTGGACTTGGCCTCCACCATTGTGCTCTTTTTGTTGATTATGAGTGAGAAACTCAACTGCTGGTGTGTGTAATATGTATTCTAGTGTGTGTTGGGACCCACTTCGATGAATCAGAGATGAGAAATCTGGAGCTATAAGTGGCCTAACTGTAAACCAGAGACAAAAACCTGCATGTGGGGACTGGAAACACAACACATCCTTCTGGAGACTAGACCATCCAACAAACCTGAGTACGGCTCCTCTTCCTGGTAGATAAAGCTAGTAGCAGCAACACAGAAGTGTTCATACCCTTGTTCTTGAGTTCATAATGTGGAGATCCACCCATTTCATCGTCACTATTCTCTAAATGGGATGTAAGTGTTAGATTCAAGGCAGGTATTTCATGTTAGCTGTATTTAGGCTACTAGCCTTAGCCTTATTCTGCCCTCACATGGAGAGGCTTTGGTGTAATTTTGTCTTGCCAATAAAGTTATTTTTGAATTTCATTGTTGGAGGGACAACGTTTGTATGGCGAAACTGTAGCAATACCTGACTCATTCTGGCTACTCTTGTTTATTGCAATAAGAAAATGAAATAATAAATGTGTATGTGAGTAAAGCATTATAAATGTAATTTAATGAAAAGAAACTTTATGGTAAACACTATTGGTATTCAGAGAAACCATGGTGCAAATCTGTACATGTCAATAAAATCATTTAATGAAACCAACCTGCTTTGTTGGTCTTTCCAATACAGACAGAAGATTCTTGTTATCTCCTAAGACTCACTACCCATAATAAAAGGACTTGGTATTTATTATCATTACATAATGCAGCATTTATATATCACATCAGCACATCAAAGCCTCATGCAGAGCTAGTTAATGAGTCACTAGTAAATGAACATTATTATCAGTCTTTTTGCACAGAACTATAAATAGCAGACTGCTGGTGCTATTAAAGCTCAGTGAGAACACTTACAGCACCCACTATCTCCGCTATCCTGTCTATGTATCACTCAAACCACTATGAACTATGAACTCATGAACCGTCTGTTTGTACTGGCCAAACTCTAGACCAATGTGGACTTTGACCAACTGAACACTTCTCATGCACAAATGCAACACTGAGAGCAACCACAAGATGGTGCTGCTATTTTATCTGTATCCTACACAGTCCCTAGTGTAGTATATCAAACCAAACAACATTTCATGCAGGATCATAACAAAATTTTACTGTGTGTATTTATCTATGTGAGAACATTCTGTTCTGTTGTATGTAATAATCATGTACCTCACGGGGTGTTTTTACCTCTACTGTATTTTTTCCCCTGAGAAGCAACATGATCTTTATGTATGCCATATGAACTTATATTAAACCAGATCAAGGTGATAATATGTAAAATATGTAGTTTGTAGCACACGACGCAAGAAGAACGTACAGTGTCTAGAACTCACATAGGGATGAGCAGTAAATGGAATGTGATCAATATCAGCTGATAGTAATATTGTTATGGGCAATTAGGGATTTATATAGAAAGCTCCACAGCCAACCATGGGGCATTAAAAGCGACTGTATTGCTTTTGTGTTAAATTGCACTGAAGTGGAAAGCAGACATTTAGTAGAAGTTATGCTTCTTCTTGTTTAGTAAATGTTTATGTTATTTGTTAAATGTTTTTATTATAAATATACATTTTTAGAAAATTACTTGGAATTTTGATCAAATCATCTAGTGGCGTGGTTATCTATTTATTTATGTTTAAATTTTTTAGCATGTGACTATCCATTATCCACTCTTTATCAGATTTGGGATTCCCAAGTAACTTTTGCCCACCAGGGCATGTTTAAAGCATTAACTTTTTGGTTGAGGGTCCATCACCTGCTTGTTTCTATGGATATGTCATTGCTCTGCCTGGAATGGTCCACAGTATGACATCAAACAGCTCTACCTATTAAATTACTGTTGGTTTTATAGCTCAAAAATACCTAGAAAAGAAAGCATTCTAACTGTGGACTGGGTTGCCTCTCCACAGATCTGGTGTTTAACTTGGTCTGGTTTGGTCTCCATGAAGATAGAAAGGTTTCACACCAAACTGTGAAACATTCCAGGCAAATCAATAACATCTCAGTGGAAAAAAGCATTTGAAAGACCCTCCACCAAAAGTTACACAATGCACTTGTAGGGTTTGGATGATCATGACATGACTCTGCTTTACATGCTGACCTCCTCTGGCATATCAGGACCTATGTAAACCAGACAATTCATTAAGAAAAAAAAGTACAACCTCAAACGCCTTTAAAAGCATTTCACAGACATCAACTAAACACTTCACATTTCTCACATGCCCCTTTAAATATTTTTAGCTATGGATTTGTAGATTTCTTCTTATAAGTCAGGACTTGTGAGAGCTTGTGTAATGGCTTGGTCCTTCTTTTGCCGTGAACCACTCTTCAGTTGAGAGCAGCACACATCGCACTGTGCCAATAACATCAGAACAGACAGCAGACAGCCAGACGAGGAGGGGTGTTCAAATGGGATCTGAAGAGGCCCAGGTACCAGCACTTTCTCTAAATGAAAGTCTGCATCTGAGAGGTAAGAAAGGCCCTGTGCTTTGGTCACACTATTACTGTGTCACCATCGGCCACTGCCTTTACGCACTCAGAGACTTACTATGCAGTGAGAAAGTATCACGATTTTTTGCTTTCTATTTCTCCTCAGATTATTTCTCAGAGTGCTTGTGCGAGTTGAGAGAGCCTTTGCAATCAACAATGTGCACATGAGCAAATAACTTTTCTTCAAACAGTACAAGGATTTGGGTTGTATCTAGATTGTGTTATTATGACATCTTGGACCCAGCTCTACTTTTATGTGTGATTGACTGACTAAATGATTAAAGGTCTCACAAAAAGTCACAAACATATATGTTCAAATAAACATAGAAGCATATAGTAATGCAATGAAAATATTCTTAAAATGGTATATTGGCATGGATAGTTTTGTGAAATATAGCATACAAGGTGCAACTAAAGTTTTGTCCCTGTCTGTCAAATAGGAGCATAATTATGTGATATTTCCATGCAGCCTACTCACCAAATGCTATTAAATATATCTACATTATAATTAATACCATTAATTTGCTTCTGTGGGCGTATGACAGCTGAAAGAACATTGACATGATGCCAGAAAATTCAGGACCTATGCCTAAAAAGAATGAATCATTTAATATTGATCAGTATTTGAATAGTGGTGATTACATGGGGCACGTGTGAGGTGAAGGTAATTCTATTTTTCTGTTGTTATATATTTTATAGTGAGTGATGGGGCAAAATAAATGTACATCATTAATCATTTAAATTTACTTTGGGTGAGAAATATCTTTCAGTGTGTGTATGCTATGTACACTGTGGTGAAAATGCCATTAAGTACACTTTTTAAAAACTTTTTTATCCTGAGAAATGTCAGCAAATTCTTGATACATGTTATTATTTACATTGACTCAATTCTCAGAGTGCACTGTACTGTACACAGAATTGTTTTCATTATTTTCAGATTAATCTTGGTAAATTGCCAACAAGGACTGGCAGGTTCAGGTGTCTCACTGATGAGATAATTCCTCTAGAGACAGTAAAGCATTATATTATGAGGTGAGACGAGCAGCCGGTGATGTTTGTTAATGTTTCTCCAGCAGCTTTGAGATGTCATAGTGCAAGTGTTGAAGCATGGTGATAATCACATGCCACTATTCCCCTTTTTAAATACTGGAAAACATCAAAATAACTGGTTTCTTTATAGTCTGGACTGTAATACTGGCATCTGTCACAGTGGGAACATAAGAGAGCTATGTGCTGAAGCTAATATGAGCTTCTCTTCAGGGAAATTAAGTCTCGACTCCACCTGAACTATAACCACTGCACCACTCAGGGTCACACCAAAGCCAGACTCATACAAGATTCATTTAGCTCACCCCTCTAAATGAAATACTATTACTGAAGGCCCACTCAAAGTTGAGTGAAATCTTGTGCTTTATTTTCATATTTGGTGATAGCTATGCCAAAGGGATTTATATTGGTAAATTGTTTTATGGGTTGTTTGTTGTTGTGTAGTGGTATAACAGAACTGGTGGTTGACATAATCAGGTGTGGAAAACACAGGGAGATTTGATAAACCGATCTTACGGGCTGATATGGACATCTCAGTCCAGAAAAGTGCAGTACTCAAAATAGCAACTCTCAAGCTCCCAGGCCTCTGGTGAGCTGAATGACCTACCACAGTATATATATATATATATATATATATATATATATATATATATATATATATATATATATATATATATATATAAAAGAGGCATTAGCATTCAGTCGATAGTGTTTGCCTTACTATTGTGTTAAGACTGGTTAGTATGGAGTATGAAGTACTAAGAGTAGAAGTATTTCAGTAGCAGTAACGACTCATCAAGTCATCATAAAGTCTTGCAATAGTAGTAATGATTGTAGTAGTGGTATTTTCATAGCAAGCATGCATGTATTCATACCATGATGCTTTAAATTCCAATATGGAAAGGATTTTTGTCAACAAGAGCATATAGTGTAAGAATGGCTTGTCAATTTCTGAAAATAAAAATAAAATTTGACTTACTTTTAACATTTATAAGTAAAAGTACTTTTACTTGAGCACAGCTGTGGCCTACTTTACTTTCTTCCAACCTTAAACTCTGAGATGGCAGTGATCCACTTTAAGCCTCAGATGCCTTTTCAGCACCATCTCACAACTTTAGGCTGAGAACATCTGGGGCACGTTGGCATGGCAGCGGTGGTCTGAGACAAAAGCTCAGATTGTTGTGACTGTGAAAGAGAGAGAGGGGGGCGGGGGTCTGAAGGGGGCAGTCCTCTGAGTCAGTACAGGCCACAGCCGAGTGAATCTAATTAGCCCTTTTCCACCTGGATACATAGCCCTCAATGATATGTGTGCCTGATCAAAGATGATTTTTGGTCCTGGGCAGGAACTTAAACAGGAAATTTAATCAAATGTATCATAAATTACAGCATTTGTTTGGTTAACTGTCAAATTTACAGTGTAATGGGGATAAGATACTGGAAACACCCAGCTGTGCGACCACTGCGTGTTTGTAATATAGATTTTTTAAACACAGACAGTACCAGTCTAAAAAGTCATGGCAGATAACAGACAATGGCATTTACTTTCAGTCTATAATCAAATGAGATGTTTTCATAATGACATTTATAGCATCTATATTAAATTGAATTTAAAAAGGCTCTTGGATGTAGCCAGAATGATCCAGAACATTTCTTGGTTGAATGTCTAGTATGTGGGATATAGTATGTATGCATTTGTCCAGACTGTCAATACGGTAACACTTTAGCAAAAGGTTTTTGTTATAATAACATCTGACACAAAGCAATCAGCTTTTATTGCATACAGTGACATTCATTTCTAAAATAAATATGTAGAGGTGGAATGTATAGTGATATTTTTGTCCCCCTTTTTTTTTTTTTTTTTTTTACCTTGGCCTAGAGGGTTCGCAATGCTGAATCATCTCCATCCATTAAGACCTAAATTTTAAATCCATCATTTCACATCATCATCTCATTCACCACATGTATCTATGTATCTATTTAGTATATTTTAAAGCTAACTGCATGTACTACAACATTGTATTCTCATCTGACTACAGTGCTCTCTACTGTACTGATG